CAGCAGGCGGTCGAACCCGAGGCCGGAGGGCTGGGGCGGCGTCTTGATGTGCAGCAGCGGGTCGTGGGGCGACAGCAGCCCGTTGGAGGTGGGGCTGAAGGTGGGGGTGTCCTGCAGGGACAGGGACGGGGCCACGCCGGCGAAGCCGCGCCCCGAGAAGGAGGCGGGGTGCTGGTAGGCGGACAGCGCGGAGGAGGTGGGGAAGGTGCCGGAGCCCGGGAGCGCGCCGGAGATGAAGAGCTCTGCCGGGGCTGGAGTGTGCATCGCTGGAAAACAGACACGGTCACTGCAGCCTCGGGGGAACACAAGCAGGAGAGAGCGTGAGCCGGCGGCCGCGGGGAGTTCGCATGCTCTCCCTGGGCTGGCGTGTGAGTGTGTGTGTGTGTCTCTGTGCGAGAGTGTGTGTGTCTTGAACTTGAACTTGAACTTGAACTTGAACTTGAGCTTTACTGCCGTATGTGACCGGTACTGGTACAATGGGATCCTTACTGACAGAAAGTCTCTCGGTTGTAAAACCAGTGTAAAAAACAAGACAAAGTGCAGACAGTGCATCAAGACAATGTTCAAACAAACAGTAGACAATGTGCAAGTAAACATGCAGACAGTTTGAATGTGAACAATACAGACGTGTAAACAGTGACTGGAGATGTGCGACAGATAAGAAATCATAAACATATAAATCACATAAATCTGTGTGAGTGTGTCTGTGATGGACTGGTGTCCTGTCCAGGGTGTCCCCTGCCATGCACCCCTGCTTGCTGGTACAGACTCCACCCCCCCGCGCCCCTGTACTGGACACTGCGGGTGATGCAAACAGATGGATGCAGAAACTATCGGCTCGGCCAAGCTGCCCAGTCCACACGCCCTGGCAGCCCTGCTTACCTGTCTGCCAGGAGGGCGTCCTGAACTGGGAGAGCAAGGAGGACGCAGAGGGGCCCGGCTGGGGACCCCGAGACTCCAGGGCGGAGATGAGGTTCATCACTGACGCGTCAGGGGCCGCAGAGCTGGGGTGATGGAGCCCCGTGTCAAAGAGCCCAGACAGACCTGACAGGGTCAACACAGGGCACAGAGAGTCAATAACACAGGGCACAGAGAGTCATTAACAAGGGACAGAGAGTCATTAACAAGGGACAGATAGACAACAACACAGCACTGAGATCAACAACACAGCACTGAGAGTCAACAACACAGCACTGAGAGTCAACAACACACAACACTGAGATCAACAACACACAACACTGAGAGTCAACAACACACAGCACTGAGTTTAACAA